TTTGGGCGTCCGTTTGGACCCAAAACTTGACTTTATCGATCATATTTCGTCAATTGAATTTATTAAACGGTGGTCGAAGGAATTCAATTACCCCTATGTCACTAAATCTTTATATACTTCTTTAGTTCGTTCTATCTTAGAATATGGCGCTTGGAGCCCTCATTACGGCGTTCATAGTAAATGCATCGAGTCGGTTCAAAAGAACTTTTTACTTTAAGCTCTACGCGGTTTAAATTGGGATGCAAACCAAAGATTACCTTCCTTCTCAAATAGACTCCTCTTAATAAACTTACCGTCCTTAGCCAATCGTAGGACGATGCCAGGAATAACCTTTATTTATAACCTTATCCATGGTGATGTGCTGACTTGTTAAGTCAGCTCAATTTCCACGCACCATGAAGAAGTACTAGATCTTATATACCACTATTGTATTGTATTATAATGATTTGTACACACTAATCTCTAACGTAGATACCCTTCCCAAATTAAAATCTTTAATACTAACACACTTAGTAAACATGCAAGCAAACAACCTGGCAGTACGCCGGTAGTCAATTTCTTCGTATTCTGTCTTATATTTTCCATCGCGCCTACTAACACCTAACCCACCTAACACCTGCCTGGTGTCATACAGGCCACTTGAGTGTACTGACCGTAGTGCATCAACGTCCAGAAGATTAATTTTTCAAAACCAATTTATTTAAAGTAAATACCTGGAAATTTAAATTTGCTAAACTTTTGCGAACGTCTGACCACTTTAAACTTTACTTTTATTTTGACCAAAGCACGATATGCATTCTATTTTTAGAATGTTTCGTACAATTTCCGGAAAAAAGTGGTTTGCCATACATAATTTTGGACAATTTAGAGACAAATTCTTTATACTTTGACTAAATATTTTTAGATACATTTTTTGAATTTGGCCTATGGGCGCAACCCATTCGTCTATTTACAAAAGGTGATTCAGTTTCAACCAGTTCCGCATCTAAATTCCGTTCTGTCTAGCTGTCCGGAGAGGGCAATGTTGAAGTTTTCTCGGGGAATTTTTTTTACTGGCTCATTACACCGGCCTATATAGACAATTATTCCGATCAGCCTCTGACGGTTTCAACAATTCTAAATTGGGCGATTACTGGTGAATATTAAACTGAAAATATTTATAAAGACCGCTGTCCCTAGCACAAAGCATTGGGCAGCCTTTACGCATTCTCTTTTGGAGCAATCATTACAAATATATAAATACAATTTCAAAGCAGGTAATGATCAATGAAAAGTGAGTTGTGGGAAAAACGAATTAAAGTTTAAAACACCCAAAAATCCAGTGTAAAATAAAAATACCAGCAGGTATAAAAATACTCATAGCTTCTGCAATTTTGCTTTAATTGACTTGAAATTTTGTCGCAATATTCTTCAAATATAACACATAAATAAAAATGAAAAAAATGGGGAAGTAATACTTCGTGGTTTTCCTGACATCCAGGTCTTCGTCTAGAAGACTACAGGGTCCATCTTCAGACCGCCTTGCGCAGCTGACGCACGGGCTGTCCAGCTGTCAGCTGTCCAAAAAAGCTCAAGCACCTCAAAGTGAATAAAGATTTTGTTTACCGCACCATAAGTAGTTACAACGATACTGGTAGTTAAAAAAAAACGCAATGGAGGTGGTCGTCAAGAGACTGCAACGTCACGTGAGATGGTTGAGCAAAATCCCCGCCGAAGTGCCAATCAAATGGCAAAAAAACTGAAAATATCCGACCATAGTATCCACCGCTAACTGAAAAATTATCTCAAGGTCAATCAAAACGGCGCGTGATCTCACACCAAAGCAGCAACAAGTTAGTCTTCAGAGAGCCAAGGACTTGCGTCGTTTGGACGAATGCGGTTAATTTCCAAACATTGCGTTTTCTGAAAAGGAAATTTTTCAGATTGAGCTATTTGTAAACTCTCAAACGATAAAGTTTACTTGACCAAACGTTCTTACGAGAATTCGATTCGTCGATTGGCCACCAGAAGGCAGCACCCTCAACAGATAATGGTTTGGGCCACTGTAACCGCAGATGAACGCTCTCCAATCATTGTCATCTAGCCTGGCGTCAAGGTCAATGCGAAATATTAACAGGAAAGTCTTCTAGAGGTTGTTTAAAGCCGTGGGCAAACAATCATTTGAGTTGCAGGCCGTGTGCGTTCCAAAAGGACTCGGCACCATCTTACGAAGCTCGAGTGACCCAAGAATGGCTAAAAAAACAACGTTCCAAAATTTATCACATCCGCTCAATGGCTCTCGAATTGACCAGACGCAAATCCAATGGAATCCCTTTTGGGCCATTTTGGAGAGCAAGGCCCGTACTAAAAAGTACACCAGTCTCGAGGCCCTGAAAAAGTTATTGTCCGCGAATGGCCCAAAATACCTGCAAGTCATCCTTTGGTCTTGGTCTTTTCAATAAGTTACACTTCAAGTGCCGGATCCTGTAGCAAAGAAGACAAAAAATGAAGTATACAGTATAAAAAAGGACAAGTATATTTAGATAATATTAAAAAGTAAATAACGCATTTTGTTTTTTGTGGGTAGTTAATACGGTCGAAATTAGCATAAGTAGATTATTGAGATTTCTTGACCACTAGTACATCAAAAAGAAATTCATTTTGATAGAATGATAACATATTATTTTAAACTAGCTGTACCCTGCCACGTTTCTCTGTGGCATATTATGGTTAAGAGGGCACTTCTGAATACATCAAGGTTCTGGCAAAATCATCTTTCTGGCATAAGGTGAAGAAGGCAGTCAGAGTTGTCGCTGGCGGATTCAGGACTCTTTCTTGCACATTTCTTTCTGTGAAATAGACACGTTGACCATTCTCCAAATGGACTGCCAAGTGAACTAAATCTGAATAGCGTTCATGAATTGGGAACGAAAAAATTCTCCATGCAGCCTCGTTGCTGCTTATGTATCTTCCAGCCTGGTATTGAGATATTTCATCGACAACTCGTACTGCATTGCTGTCCCCATTTTCTGCCTGAACACCAAAAACTGCCATATCGCTGCCTTTATTCACGTACTTGCAGATATATTTAATCGATTTCACGGAATTGCAATATTCTACGTTGATGTGCGCTTTGTATGATTTTGACAATAGTGGTGAGTATGGAACCACCCAACGATTGTCTACCTCAATATCACCAATTCTCATGTTTAAATTTGCCGAAGTCCCTCCATCTTTAGTTGACCGTCTCCCATACAGAGGATATCCATCGTCCCCTGTTACGGTGTTGGGTGTAAATGCTCGAGGGTATCGCTTGAAACACTTCCCGTCTACCATGCCTGGTGAACATGGGTTGAGGGTACCACATGGGCCATGGATCATGTTCTTGATGACAACTTCATGCAAATCCGTATCAACCTCGGCCCGTGGAATCTCAGCGCATATAACATAGTCGATTTCATCTGGAGTAATTTTGATAAAAATCATACAGCCAAATCAGTATGTGCGCATGCGGCAATCCTCTCTTCTGCCATTCTACTGAATACATCCAGCACCGCACAGATCCAAAAACTCCATGTTTCACAATGAAATCCTTCAGTGACTTGAGCTTTTGTCTGAAAACACGGGCTGTGATGTCATGCCTATCCCTATACGATTGTCCAGGAAATAACAGCTGTACTATCTCGTACCAAACTAGATTGCATGTGAAGGTGATAAATAAGTCTGGACGGCCGTGGCAACGAACATATGCCATGGCATCTTGAGCATATTCCTGCATGTGGCGTGGACTACCTATGTATGAGGATGGCAAAATCGTGAGCTTTCCAACGTTGGTTGTATTACGGTCATTCATCACAGCATCCCGCAAATGTATATATTCATCCGACCGAAGTTTCGTCTGATTCAATCGGAGGAACAGCAAACGTTCTGTTTCAATTTTTGCATACATATCGACAATGTACTGATGAAACAACTGACGACATTTCAATATAACCTGTATGAGTATAAATTCATCGCGCAGCCGCGTCTCTCGGATGGAGGCCCGTTCTTCGTCAGTCATATTCGTAATCTTACGTCTTTTTGCTTCTGTATTGCGAATACGACGACCCAATCTCGACTTCTTTGGTGGCATGACTTCGTTTCTTACTGAACCTGTCCAAAAAAATAAAATTTGTATCTCCAATTTCTTCTTTCAATATGTTTTGAATGTTTGACAGGAAATGATTCAGCTGGCTGCCTGTAGAGGGCGCAGCAGTAGGGGCACGGGGAAACGCGAAAAAAAGTGATATATTCGCAAATGCAGATAAGCTATCAACATCAAAAGTAGACAATAACCGAGCTGGAACCTCAACGCATGTTTTCTAAAAATTTGGGCTTAAACGGCTCAGAACTTTTCAAGTTTCTTCTTTCAAAATGTTTTGAATGTTTGACAGGAAATGCTTTGATTCAGCTGGCTGCCTGTAGAGGGCGCAGCAGTAGGGGCACGGGGAAACGCTAAAAAAATTGATATATTCGCAACCGCAGATAAGCTATCAACATCAAAAGTAGACAATAACCGAGCTGGAACCTCAACGCATGTTGTGTAAAAATTTGGGCTTAAACGGTTCAGAACTTTTCAAGTCTATGAAGGATGTAGACACGAACAGAGCATTTTTATATATATAGATTGTTTTATTTAACACGCTATTTGCACATAATCGCACACATTGGTTTATAGCTTTCTAATTTGTATAATCTTGTGCAATGTTTCTATAAAACTCAATATATTTAGTTTTAATGAAATACATATTTTTTAGCAATTCATATATTGAATATAAATTTATTAAAACGTTTCGTTTATCTTACATTTTTCTTAGATTGGTCGCACACATTGGTTTATAGCTTTCTAATTTGTATAATCTTGTGCAATGTTTCTATAAAACTCAATATATTTAGTTTTAATGAAATACATATTTTTAAGCAATTCATATATTGAATATAAATTTATTAAAACGTTTCGTTTATCTTACATTTTTTCTTAGATTGGCAGTATGACCGCTATTAAAACCCGTTCTCCCGTTATAGCAGGGAATTTTGCTATTTGGGGAGGTATGTTCAGTACAATTGATTGTACACTTGTCCACTTTCGGAAAAAAGAAGATCCATGGAACTCAATAATAAGTGGAGCTGCAACTGGAGGAATATTAGCTGCGAGAAATGGTAAGACCTGATATTTATCTATAGATAATATATTGATAGTTGAAAATAAATTGCCAATTGTCATCGATGTTTACAACCGATTAAAACCTATTTAGAGGTTTGGTTTTCTTGCCGTATTCCCATCATTAATATTGGTCATACCATTTTGCCTAGGGTTGTCTACATAAAGTCCCATAAGGCGTTTTGAATTTTTTGTTTCTTCTATTTCCTTGTTATAGCACTTTTTTAGCTCGATTTTGATAATTTTAATACGACTTCAAAAAAGCGTATCCACGCATAAAAGGGACTACTCCATATTGATCAGTTTTTTTGTTTCAAGTCAAACGTTTTGGGATAGTAATCATTTATTTGAAGGATTTGTGTTAAGTTTGCTCCACACATTGGACACAACTGAAAAGATGTCGTTCCCTGATACTTGATTTTTGATTTTTAATCTTTTTCTTGTTTTTTTTCTTTACGTTTAGAATAATAGATGCAGTTTCCTTAATATATAAAGTTTTTAGAGGATGGCAAAATCTTGAAATCTGAAAAGAAGTAACCACAATGATCCTCTTAATAATATTCGAATAGCGATATGGTTAAATAAGACAATAAAAAGACAGGCCCTTTTCAGGAGATATGGAACTAGACAGAATTTTAGGGATTATGGAATATGTTTTTTAATTGACCCACAGATTCTACCGTAAAAAGTTTTTAGGACAAATTGCATGCCATTTTCATTTGATTTTTCGCTGAAATGGGGGCAGCGTGAAGTTAAAAAGAAGTTGAATTATTGTTATCTCCCACAGAATCAGATACTAATTTTCCTCTAAGCCTTAAGCCATAATTCTTCATAATTCTATTTTATTTGGTGACTCATTTTAGACACAAACACTTATACTTATATTTTCGGCTAGCCAATAGCGTGTTTTCTTTTTTGCCTATGTTACGGAACTATTGACTATTGGCTAATGTTTTATAATATAACAAATAAAACGTTTAATTTTTGTTAATATTCGAAAGTATGTATTTTCGTAAGCCATATAGCACCTATTGATGTTCTTAGCTTCAAATAGTGCAGCTTGTAAAAGCTCGAATGTCGCTACGTAAATGTAAATTTGTAGCAAAAAGTCGCAAAAAGGATTAGTTATGCGAAAATAACTTTGCGTTTAAAATAACAACAGGTATACTAAGATACATTTATACATACCTTTATTACGACTCTCCATTATCAGAAATAAAATAATCTTTTGTGGCTTCACAAAAGTATATCAAATAGCTAACTTTGTTGGTTTATCAACACCATAGTGTTGTTAGTAACAATTTTTGGGAGGCGTTATTTTTATACCCTTGCAAGGAATTATAATTTCAGTCAGAAGTTTGCAATGCAGTGAAGAAGAAACCTCCGACCATTTAAAGTATATATATTCTTGATCATCATCAACAGCCGAGTCGATCTAGCCATGTCCGTCTCTCCTTCTGTCCGTTTCTACTCATACTAGTCTCTCAGTTTTGAAGCTATCTGAATGAAATTTTGTAGTTAGTCTTCTATATACTCTCACTCGTATATATGTCGGAACGGGCCGGATCGGACTACTATATTATATAGCTGCCATAGGAATGATCGGAAAATTTTTACCAAAAAAATTATAACATTTTTAGTCAACAGATTTTAATTTAATTTGGGATATTGCCATTTTACTTATTCTACGCAAACTAGTGTCTCAATTTTGAAGCTATCTGAATGAAATTTTGTAGTTAGTCTTCTATATACTCTCACTCGTATATATGTCGGAACGGGCCGGATCGGACTTCTATATCAAATAGCTGCCATACGAACGATCTAAAATTTTGTGTAAAATGTCAAAATCGGACAACTATATCATATAGTTGCCACAGGAACGATCGAGAAATTAATACAATTAAATATTATAACTTTTTCGGTTGTAACAAATTTTTATCAAATTTGAGATATAGCCATTTATCTTATTTTTATTTATTTTTTTTTTTTTTAATTTTATGGAAATCTGACGTCTGTATCATATAGCTGCCATAGGAACGATCGAGAAATTAATACAATTATATATTATAACTTTTTTAGTTTTTAACAGATTTTCATCAAAGTATTTAATTAATACATTTAAAAATTAAAACTTTTTTAGTTTTTACCTGATTTTCATCAAATTTGAGATATAGCTATTCTGTCTTTATCTAATTTTTTTTTAAATGTTATGGAAATCTGACGACTGTATCATACAGCTGCCATAGGAGGGTCGATAAATTAATACAATTAAAGTTTATAACTTTTGCAGTTTTCAGCAGATTTAATTTCATCAAATTTAAGATGTAGCCATTTCATATTATTCTACAGTTTTGTGTTAAATTTTATAAAAATCAGACTACTATATCATATAGCTACCATAGGAACGTTCGAGAAATTAATACCATTAAAAATTATAACTTTCTCAGTTTTCAACAGATTTTTGTCAAACTCAAGCTATATCCATTTCATATTATTTTACAATTTTGTGTGAAGTTTTATGAAAATCTGACCACTATATCATATATATATATATCATATATATCATATTCATATCATGAAAATTAATACAATTAAAATTATAACTTTTGCAGTTTTCAGCAGATTTTCATCAAATTTGAGATATAACCATTTTATAGTATTCTACGATTTGGTGTAAATTTTATGAAATCAGACTACTATATCATATAGCTCCCATAGGGACGATCGAGAAATTAATGCAATTAAAAATTATAACTTTTTTAATTGTAAACAGAATTTAATCAAATTTGAGATATAGCCATTTTATATTAGTCTTATGTTTTCTGTTAAAATTTATGACAATTAATCATATACATAGGTGCCATACAAAATGGCAAAATGCCATGGAGGAAAAATGCAAATCTGTGACTGTAAAACTGCAAATATAATATGTATAGGTGAATGAAATGAAAGCAGGTATTACTTCATTTTTTTTTAACCTAAATATATATAATTTATATTGTATTGATTTCTAGTCATCGAAGTTCTATCTGCAATGGAATATAAACTTCGGCGTGCTTGTTTTAATTAAGGTAAATATATTTAAGAAATATTAGTTTATAAAAAAAGTTATGCGAAAAAAAATTGTATTAATCCTGGTACCGATAGCTTACGGCAGAAGGAAGCATATCTAACTTCCTTATGTGTATATATTCTTGATCAGAGCGTCCTGCTGAGTCAAGTTAACTATGTCCGTTTAACCGACCGTCCAAGTAATATTTTTGATTTCTTCCAAATAGTTACTCCAGCTAAAATAACTTTTGATCGAACTTTTGCTGGCTGTCCAGTATCATACTCTCATACAAGGTGCGTTCCAAAGTAAACAGGACTTTTTGAATCTAGCGTCATCTAGTGGCGCCATCTATATGTCAACTGGTGCGTTAGAATCTGCTATCCTTTATCGACTTCCAGTAAAAATTTCATGACATTTCATCTATTGGAAGTGAGGTTATTGCGTTTTAAGTGTCAGTATGTTTTTGTCATCGGTACGAAAATGAGCTTCGAACAAAGAGCCAACATTAAATTTTGTTTTAAAATTGGTAAAACTTTTACCGCAACGTTTCAATTGATGAAACAAGTTTATGGCGATGATTGCCTATCCAGTAGCAGAGTGCACGAGTGGTTTCAAGGTTTTCAAAGTGGTCGTGAGGACATAAATGACGATGAGCCAAAACCCAAAGAATCGCGCCTGGAGAAGTCAAAAGTGAAGACAATGCTGATTTGTTTTTATGATTCCAAGGGTATTGTCCACAAAGAATTTGTTCCACCCGGCCAAAACGTTAATGCGGTATTCTACCTTGGAGTTTTGAAGCGTTTGGTGCGCCGTATTCGACGTGTTCGGCCCGAATATCGCGAAGATGGAAGTTGGCGTTTGTTGCACGATAATGCGCTGCCTCATCGATCGACTCTTGTGTTTGACTATTTGACCAAAAATCACATTTTAACCATCAACCACTCCCCGTATTCACCTGATATGGCACTGTGCGACTTCTACCTTAATGGAAAAATGCATTTGCGATGAAAGGAAAGAGTTATGCAGACGTAAAGGCCATTTAAAAGGCTTGCACCGGCATACTGGCGGCCATACCGGGCAACGAGCTAAAACACTCGTTCGACATGCTTTTGGACCGTGCAAAAAGCTGTATTAAAGCAGAAGGAGACTATTTTGAATAAAATAAATTGATTTTGCCGAAAAAACTATTTGTTCTATTTTTTGTTAAAAGTCCTGTTTACTTTGGAACGCACCTTGTAGAATAGTCAAAAATTGTTTGTCGAACTGAACAAATTGTCTAATTTTTTATACCATACTTTATCACGCTTTGGCTACAGAAGTCTGGCCGGCTAACTTAGTTATGATTCGCAATATTACACAGTCTATCGGCGGAGGCCTCAGCTCACATTTACACCAAAACAGAATACATCAAGTTTTTTTAAACCTGCAAGTCATTCGAACAGCTGTTTGCTTGCTCGAGAACACAAAAACAAAATACATGTTTTTATTTTTTTGGGGAGACAATAAAAACAAATTTGCAAGTCAATTGTGCTGGTGGGACGCTAATTGTTGGTGTTAAAATTTGTTGTCTGACCCAGTCAGTTATTTTTCGTGCCCATATTTGCTTTATACACTGTGCGTCACCATATACCGCCCCTGTTACCTTTTTGAATTCTTTTAACTCTTGTTCTATTGCACTTAAATTTGTATTTTCATACCCTTGCAGGGTATTATAGTTTTATTTAGAAGTTTGATCAGCATCAACAGCCGAGTAGATCTATCCATGTCCGTCTGTCCGTTTCTACGCAAACTAGTCTCTTAGTTTTAAAGCTATCTGAATGAATCATAGTTAGTAAGTGTTCTATTTACTCTCACTTGTAAAAAGGAACTTGTCATAGGAACGAACGGAAAATTATTAGAAAAAAAATTATATAGTTATAATTATAATTTTCAGGTATCCACCGGATTTTTATAAAATTTGAGATATAGCTTTTTATATTATTCTAGAATTTCGTTTCTAATTTTATTAAAATCGGAGGAATATATTAGATATAGAGGTAAATGCAACACTGTGAGTTTAAAACTGCAACTGAAAAACTTATTAAATAATTGTTTAAAATAAGTTTATATATTTTGCTTGTATATAAAAAGACATTTTGTTGTTTCTTCATACATACATCTGAATATAATATACACATAAACATATGCAATAATTTAAAAATTGTATATATATCGAAATGCGTATACATTTGCAATTGGCTATCGGAAATGACATGTTTTTTAAATTTTTCTTGAATCAGGAAAAGTTGCCGGGGTTATTGTAGTGTAAAATACATTAGTGATATTTTCATAAATTTTCGATGGATGGATCGATCCTTGGGGAATCCTGGAGGATTTTGTAATGTATCTTAAGGAGATTCCTCTGAGATTCATGCAGGAATTCTTTTGATTCCTTGGTGATTCGCCCTGGAATTCCCTTAAAATTAGTGTCAAAATTCCGCACCGAATTGCCCCCTTAATAACTACTCTTCAGTACAAAAATTCTTTTCCTGTCCGATTCCTGGTGTGTTCGAAAAACAAAAACAAATCTCATGGGTTTCGGTAAAAGAACTCCGAAACAAAGAAGGCAATGAAAATTTCAAAGCGATTCGGACAGAAAAGTAATTTTGGTACTGAAGGAATATGACAGATTTGGTATTGCCAACTCCCAAGTTATTTTTTATTCCAGACTTCAATAGTATTTATGCCACTTTAAAGCACTTTTATTGACATGAATCAGTTAAATTACACGTTCTCTTTCAAATTTAAACAGTCCGAACTGATGAGCAGTTATATATAAGCTTCAAATGGCATATGTTCTGTCTCTTTTATCTAAAACTAATGTTATCATTAATCTTAGAATTTAAGAGATCTTAACATGTTTTATCGTAAATATATATATTCAATGTAAGCGTTTAGATTAGTTGAGATTCCGTCCATGGCAATGCAAATATTTCATTCCAATCCTAATTGCATACGTCGTAGTTCATCATATCAATATTTCTAAAGTCTCTAAGCTAAGTTAAGTTTAAGTTTTTTTTTCAGTCTTCAGTTATTTTTTTTAAGGTTTTATCAAAACCAAGTTTCTGAGACTCATATAAAATCAAAATTCGAATTAATTAATAAATACCTGAACTCTTCACTTATGTAACACCCAAAGTATATGTGACATTGTTAGACCATTCTTCTTTTTTGTTTATCTAGTCAAATTGGACATAACCGATAAACGAATTATTAACAATAAAAACAAAAAAATGTATCTTTATTATTTCTTTATCTATCATATAAACTCTTAAAACAACAATGATTACAAATAATATGGGACAGCCAAATAAAAGTATTTATTGGGGGAAGCTATTATTCGCAGCATAGGTAAATTTGGCAACCGAAATGCTAGAACCAGAGAGGGACAGAGGTAGTGGAGCAATAGTAAGCGTTAAAATCTGATCGGAATGCTGAATGATATGAACTTTTTTTTCCACTGCACTTGAAGTGCACAATCCCACGTCGCGTAAAAATAGCTAAGCCGCGGTACACCAAAATCGTGCGAAGAAATTACACCTTTTCTCTATTGGACTCCAGTTTAATTGGAAAAGGTGCATTTTCAAAAATAGCTTGTTAAGTAGGGCACAAATTTTTCTTTCTTTACCGCCACGATGTGCGTGAAGTGTACTTTACCCATATCGAAATCAGGGGGGGGGGGTATATGCAAGTATACATTGATCGTAGATCGACTACTAAACTACCTTCGTTGAACTATCCATAACTTCGTTTATTTTACTATAATCGATATAACTTGGCCACATTATTCTTATGAATTTATATATCGGGTATTTAACATAACAAAAAAAAAAAAAAAAAAAAAGAATTACGAAAAAAACAACTCCAGACAAATTTTAGTTTATAAACAGGTTTCGGTACCAGCCTTTTCTACATAGAATACAATACATAGAAATCACTCTCAGTCGAAGACTTGTGTCACACTTAGACACCCCACAAAAACTTGTATGCAAGCATACGAACACACTAAAGAAAGAAGTACGCAACAAACAGAAGTAATCTCATCTCTCATTGACACCACACATTAACATCAACGTTCAATTCACCTTTTTCATAAGAATTACACCACTATAAAAAAAATACCTTTAAATTGCTTCTTCCCCTTGAATTAATTTATCTCTGTCTTGCCTTAAATGGAATACACATATTTTGCTCTCATAGCATAATGATCCTATATCCTATCCATTTTGACCTATTTAACGAACACATACACATACCTTGTCAAAAGACACATCGAAAAATATCAGACAAATTTATGCCAATATTCCATTTGTCCAAAACAAATGTAGATGTTAAAACATATATATCCAGAATCTTTATAGTATAACTTCAGAATTCATTATCAGATTTTCCTAAAATTTTTATATAACGAAAACACTAGTCTAGTATAAGACGATCTGTCAGTGCCAGAGCGCTGCCGGTATACCTTAGAGTACTTTGTTTATCTTCTATTGCGTTTTTCTCAAAACTACTTTTTTTTTTAGAACTGTGTACTGTGTGTGTTCTCTACAACATTCTCTCTTGCATGACGTAGCATTTTTTCGATATAATTTTTTTTTTAAGGTTATACATTTTTAAAACAAAATTTCGTATAAAAAATTGTTTTTTTTTGTAAAATGCTCTCATTTGCTAAAAAAAAAATTTTTTTTAACGGCTACGTCATGCTATAGCTATACTTTCATAGTTTATAACAAAATTTTTTTTGGGTTTTAGATAAAAATGTGTGCAGCATGTACACTATACGACCATTCGTTGAAAAAAGTGCCTTATTTGACTGGCTATGTCTCCGCAAACATGTAATTTGATATACAAATAAATAAATTGTTGTATTTTTAATAACATTGACAAAATTAATTTTTTAAAAACCATCAAATTTTCATGACATTTTTTAAAAATCTAAAATTTTTTTTTAATCAATCTTGATGCCGATATTCTTACGGTCATTTTAAGACATCGGGCTTAAAAATATCTCGTTCTTGTGGATTCTACAGCCATTAGAATTGAGCGCTGCCGGTATACCGTAGAGTACTTTCTTTATCTTCTTTTGCGTTTTTCTCAAAACAACGTTTTTTTAAAACGGTGTACATGATTTCTCAAAAACCGCCGGACCGATTCTCTTCAAATTTTTTACACAGCTTCTCTATAATGCCCTCTATGGCATGACGTAGGATTTTTTCGATATGTTTTTTTGTTTTAAAGTTATAAATTATTAAATCAAAAATTTTGTTAAAAAAAAATATTTTTTTTTTCAAAGTGCTCCCATTTGCTCAAAAAAAATTATTTCCAAAAACGGCTACGTCATGCTATAGCCATACAGCTTATATAAAATTGTTGTTTTTGAATTTCGGATAACAAATGTGGTGTGCAGAATGTACACAATCCGACCATTCCCTAAAAAAAATCGTTTTTTGACTGGCTATATCTCCGAGGTTCGTAAATATTTTTTTTCTTTCAATAAGTATTTTGTAGTTTAACATATGTACTTTGATGTACTAATAAATAAAAAGTTGTATTCCCAATAACTTAGTCAAAATGAATTTTTGAAAAACCCTCCAATTTTCATGCGTTCAGGGTGGTCTACCCCCTTAACTTTAGTCACGAAAGGTTTACATTATTGTGTTGCGAAATGCGATATTAGCGGTGGTGGCGGTCTGTTTCGGATTGGCTTTAGTGACTCGTTTCTCACAGCAATTCCAGCATTAGGTGTGGATGGGTCTCTGATCGTAATTGTCACTATCGGGATGCTCGGTAAAGGGGCTAAGTTTTTGTATGTCTACCTGCGAGGGAAGTTCTGGGAAGTCATCCGTTTGGTTAGAAGCTTGGAACTCTTGTATATTGCTCTATTTGTGGGACCATATTATTTTCGGTGCAGTCTGACCCTTTGAGTGCGATCTTTGCATCTCGTGCGCATTTAATTAAAATATTTTTCGTATTAATTTTGTTATGTCTCTTATTTTTCATATTACTTCTCCTATGCGTCTATGTTAAAAAAAATTTTTAAACTAAAAATTTCACTGTTATACCTTAGGGTTTTAGAAATTTTGTGAGGCCGGAAATGGGTGGTACCATTCAGTATTGTTACGAAATTTGATAGCTCCAACTATTAATCTCTGAAAAGGACAGACGGACATAAGTGAAACAATTAAGTTTCTGAAAAGTATGACAAAACAGTTTTTTTATGCAAACATGCTTATATTGTAGATTCTTTATTAAACCAAAATCACAATTGTATCCAAATCTTTTATTATCCATTATCACTCAGCGAACATTCTTCGTATTGACTGTAACTGTAATGACATTAAAAAAGATTTGTGCCGTAGTTAATTTCTACAAACTTTTTTCTTTATAGGTGTTCCAGCAATGGCAGGCAGCGCCATTATAGGTGGTGTTCTATTGGCTCTAATTGAAGGAGTTGGAATATTATTTACGAGAATTTCTGCAGATCAATTCAAAAATCCCGTGCCACCAACCGAAGACCCTTCTGTTCTTGGCGATCCATCAAATAATTTTGCTTTTTCGACAAACGCTAATCAAAAACAGTATCAATAAAATTGTTTTAATATTTTTATACTTATGTTTTAGATGACGTGCCTTAGTGGCACGAGAGATTGTAAGTATGGGAATAATGCATTTTAGAGCCCTGAATGAATATATTTTAGCAGAATAGACCCTATTTGCAGGATAGGCAACAATGTAAACTGCGCAGGTAGTGCAATAGGTTTTCATGTGTCCATATTCTCTGCGATGCTTACATTGAACGGGTAAAAACATAAAATCTTTTAGAATTATAAATAATAAATGAAACAAAAAGTCAAACTAGATAATTCTAAAGCTTCTATTTTGCAAGCGAAATAAGGTTAGGCTCTCATGAGGGCCACGCATAGCTCAATATGCGTGGCCTTCGCTGTCCGGATGTTTTTAATATGGACCTGGAGATTTTCGCGATTATGAAGTTCTTGAAAATCAAGGCATTTTTGAAGAGGGCAAGTAGTTGAACTGTTGTCCTCTTGGAGGCATCTACTAGTTATCCCAGTACTGTGACGCCTGAGTTAGGGCTGCGCACTTACAGATAATATGCTCCAAGGTTTCGGTTGCTTCGGATTCATCACATTCATTCTTGCAGTTGCCGACGTCGGTGATGCCTAGCTTGACTGCATGTGTCGCAACCATGCAGAGTCCTGTCAGTCATTTCGTGGTAGACGCATTACAAACATAGTGACTCAGTTTATCAGTTTTTGCAGGCTGATTATTTTGCTTTTTGCTCGTATGTGTGCTTGTCTCTCCAACTCTCTTTGACGTGTCCTCAGGGAGACGGGAATGTTTTCAATTCCTTAATAAGCAGAGCAGTCCCGTAGCCACTGAGATCTCTCCATAGGCTTGTTGTATTTCGTCTATTCCATGGCTTGCTACCACACCAAGACTCCATATAGCATTGTCGGAGGCACTACCGATATGTAGACCCAGAGCGGGCGAGACTCCATTAGCATCTTCTTGGATGCGTATAGCTATATGGTGGCCTTTTTTACTCTTCCTAGTACATTGGGTTTCCATGCCAGCCATGCCGGTACTGTGACGATTATTTGACTTGCGTTTTCGGGGTCAGCGTGGTCAAATAGATTTTTGGGGAATCAATAGCAGTACCTTGTATCTTTTGGAGAAGAGAATAAGGTTTGTCTTCTCCGTTTTGAAAGTCAGTCTTACGTTGTCCGCGCACTTACATATAAGCATTGATTCCATAGCCGAGCTGAGGGTCGAAGAATTATTATATATGGACGTTAATGCACTACCTAAATGGCTCCCTTGCAAGACGCCAGAAGTAACTCTGAAATAATTAGATAAATTATTCTTAAAGAGAACCTTTTGCATCCTGCCATTCAAATAACTTGATATCCAACTAAGAAGATCGTCAGAGAAATAACTGATCTACAAAGGTGCTGCAAATGAGGATTAATTACGTTTTCAAAAAGTTTTGGAATGGCCGACAACTTAAAGATTCCTATATAATTGTTGGCATTCGATTTGCTACTTTTTTTGTGGAGAGGAATAATAAATGATTCCTTCCCAATAAGAGTAAAGTGTGAGGTTCTTAAGGATAAGGTAAACAATTTCAGAAGGGGATACCTGAGCACACAGGCATTCCGTCCGGAATAATTAATTTTAGCTTTTAAAATGTGAGCTTCCTTCGTGGAATTCTATCCAAGGTCGTGGCCTGTGTCGAAGGAGGCAGCTGCTGAGTAGTCGATGCGGGTTGTTAAGATCCGTCTAAATGCTGCACACGAATTGCGTTTTTTTGGGCCTGGGACATTCATTTAAATGCGTAAATTGGCTATCCAGAGCTAAAAACATACGGGTTTTTCGAAAACTCGAAACTCCTTAAAACCGCCCTTGGTTCGCCGCATAAAAGTCTTCATTTCCTTTCTACCTTGAGACAGGCCTCGCAGCAGGCCGGTGTTTTTTTTACTTCGTCCACCGTCAGCTGCAACACCAATGCACATGGCGTGCAAGATGTCGCACAGCCTCCTTGCAGGTTTTTGGGAACAGACGATATTAGAGGACGTTTTATGACTTACCACTGTACTTCTAAATTGCTAAGATATGAGAAAGACTCTCTGTCTGTGCGCGATAAATAAGATAAACCGTGCAGCGGCACATAGCAGAGGGAGAGTGCTAAACGACTAAACGGGAAAAGCGCAAAAAATATATATATAAAAGCAAGCGCTAGCAGCACAATTAAAAACTGAGACATAATCTCTTTAAATACACAAATAAAAATAGCTGCATGCACACGAGACAACGTATAGCAGAGTCGAACGCACCACCGATATGTAGACCCAGGGCATCAGAGTGAGTGAGAGGCACCATGTGCTGCTGAGCATCTTCTTGGATGCATATAGCGCAATGATGGCCTTTTCCAGCCTCTCTAGTACATTGGGTTTCCATGCCAGCTTCCCGTCCAATACAGTGCCAAGATATTTTAATTGTGTTTTCGGGGTTAGCCTGGTTGTATTTATTTTTGGGGGGATCTGTGGCGGTACCTTGTATCTCTTAGTGAAGAGAATGAGGTCCGTCTTATCCGCATTGATACTGAGTCCATCCTTGTACATCCACTCACATATATCCCTGAGTGTTGATTCCGTGGTCGAGCTAAGGGTAGATAGACATACTCCAGTGATAATTATGCTTATGTCGTCATCATAAGCCTTTCCCTCGCACCTCTTGATTAGGTCTTCGACCAAGAGATTCCATAGAAGGGGACTCAACCTTGCGCTCCTTTCACAATGGAATCATACTCTTCCCACTTTCGTTTATAAAAATAAATAGGAATGACTGCCATTCTTAAATCATACCCTTACCTCTGCACAACAAAAAGGAGTGTTTTTAACGATGTGCTCTCCGACTCACATCAGGTGGGCAGAGGTAAGGATAGGTAACTTAACAGATTTTGAACATTTAACTCGCAGGACAATTCAACGTGTAACAGAAAATAATACTTAGTGTACATGGAACATAGAACACGGAATGAACCATGCTCGTTAATATTCGTCTTACAGACGTTAAGGGCTATGGGACGAAAATGACGAGAAGGCCTTACAGGGACTGCGAGACGTAATTTGCTTAATAAATACGTGGAGCAAATTTTACAATTGAGTAGCTTAGAAATAAAAATAACGACGATCCATTAGGGTGGGGAGGCTTAAAAGTCTGAGCCTGTCGGCATACGATGGAAGACAACGATGTGGGTCCCACCTTAATCCACGCAGAGCAAACAAAAGGAATTGTTTCTGAACAGATTCAATAAGGTCTTGATACTTTGCATATTGAGGTGACCACACACACGAACAATATTCAAGAATAGGGCGAACGAGTGAGATATAAAGAAGTTTTGATGTATAAGGATCATCAAACTCCTTTGACCATCGCTTAACAAAGGCGAAAACCCCTCGAGCTTTACTAATAATTAGACCAATGTGGTCATTAAAATTAAGGGTGTGGTTAAATAGGACTCCGAGATCTGTTACCGTAAAGATGCGTTCAAGATCGCACGCACCTATAGAGTAATTGGCGAGCAGGCAATTCTTCCGGTAAAATGACATAAAATTGCATTTGGAGTTGTTGCGAAAGAGGAGATTATTGATGCACCAGGATTGCATGTTATTGAGGTCAGTTTGCAAAAGGTTGTGTGAATGAGAGTTCGTCAATGGCAAACATATTTTGACGTCATCTGCGTACATCATCACACTTGAGTGTAGAACCACTTCAGGCAAGTCATTGATGAAGAGGCCGAACAGAAGTGGCCCAAGGTAGAGCACTTAAAGGCAACACGTTGACCGGTTGGATAAATATGTTGCAATCCAGTTAGTCAATAAAGCAGGGAAACCCAAAAGCGTAAGTTTTCTTAGTAATTGTAGGTGATTTACCGAGTCAAAAGCTTTGCTGAAATCGGTGAAGATAACGTCCGTTTGAAAATTTAATTTGAAGCTGTGCTGAAAGGGGGACATAATTGACCGACATTGGTGCTGCAGTTGCGCAGTAATCAGAAGTTGGAATAACTTCGGAATAGCACTAAGCTTTGCAATTCCTCTGTAGTTTTCGATATAAGATTTACTGCCCTTTTTATGGAGAGGAATGATGAAAGATTCCTTCCAACTTTCTGGGAAAAATGAAAGACGAAGCGATATCTAAAAAAGAATTGGCAGAGGTCGGCATAAAGCTCCAGCACAGTTTCTCCAAAACACAGCTAGGAACGCGATCAGGACCAGAAGAAAAGGAAGGTTTTAGTGTCTTGAGGTTCTGAAAAACATCGTCTTCGCAAATAGCGGGCATGACAATGGAATTAGAAAGTGGAAGAGAATAAGGATACGAAGAGGTTGTATTGTAGCCAATGGATGAGTACGTAGACTGGAAAAATTTTGCGACTAGGTTCGCTATATCAGGCTTGTTAGACGCGGACTCAGTATTGAGATGAACACAAGAAGGAAAATTTTGGGATCTTCGTTTTGAATTAACAAACGCGTAAAATTGCTTAGGATTAGCCTGGAACTCATTCCTACACCGATTTAGGTGGTTTCTGTAGCATTCAGAATTGTGGGCTAAGAATTTTGTGCGAGCTGTCAATTATCTAGAAAGGTCCACCTGTGACCCAGTCCTAGTGAATTTCTTGTGAAGCCTAGACTTCAAGTTTTTAAGATAAGAAAATCGACGAGAAAACCATGGGGGCTTGTAAGACGCGTCGGGTGAAGGAAAAGATGGGACATAAATGTCAAAGGCAGAATATAAAATATCATAAAAGCGCATAACCATATTATTGGGGCCTCTAGAGAATCCAAAAAAGTCCAATCAGCTAGGGATAAATAGGAGTTAATGCCATTGAAATTAGCTCTGCGGAAGCAGCGAAAAGTTGTCGGTTCAACTTCTAGACTAGGAAGTAAAGGAAACGACGCTTCAAGAATTATCTCCAGAGTGGGATGATAAGCATCTTCAGATAGGAGATAGGGTCAATTCTTGAGACAAGGGCGTTGGCGAACTCGGACGCAAAGATAAGGTCCAAGATTTTATCACTACAGTTCT